TCATATGCAAATGGCTGTCCATTGTCTGATACGACTTGATCTGGTATGCCATGTCTGGCTAGAAGCGCTTGCAACTTCTTGATAACTTCTACAGCTGTTTTTGTGGTTAGGCTGTCCACTTCAAAGAAGCTCGAGTAGTAGTCGACAGTGACCATGTAATCTCTTCCATTCAGCTGGAACAGGTCTACGGCTATCTTTTCCCAAGGTCGGGTTGGTATCTCATGACAGATCATTGGCTCTTTGGTTTGTTCTCTTGGTTGGTCGTTACAGACATTGCATTGAGCGCTGCAGTTCTCTATGTCTCTGTTCATTCCTGACCAATACAACACCTCTCTGGCTCTACGTGAGCAGCCCTGAATGCCTATGTGACTTGCATGGATCCTAGCCTTCATTTCTTCTCTTGCACTTTCAGGTACAACCAACCGTTCGCCTTTCAACACCAGTCCATTTTGGAGTGTCAACTCTTCACGAAAAGGGAAGTAATCTCTAATTCTTGCAGGAAGGAGGTCTTTGTTCTCTGGCCAACCTTCTGTTATGGTAGTCTTGAGTTCTTTCATGACTGGGTCTGTTTCAGTAGCAGTGCAAATGATGTTCTGTGTTGTCTCGGACACTGGGAGGTACTGGACCATGTTGATACTCTCTGTATCCTTCACTGCATCTCCTCTTGTGTCTTCAACAGCAGACGATTGAACAAATGCTCTACTGAGTGTATCTGCCAAATACATCTTGAATCCCTTCTTGTAGGTAACTTTAAGGTCATACTTCTGGAGACGCAGCATCATGCGTTGGAGACGTTTTGGGGCACTGATTAAGCTCTCTTTGAAGATACTTTCAAGGGGCTTGTGGTCTGTTTCTATCTTGACTGGTCTTCCTTGAACATACTGTTCGAACCGTTCTAGTTAAAAAACGATGGCAAGAAATTCTTTTTCGATCTGCGCATAGTTGATTTCTGCATCATCGCTCTTGAAGCAAATTTCTGAAGGTAGTTAACCATGCAAAGTAGCCTCTTCACATCTTGCTTGCTTTCCGGGGTGGGCATATCCTGAACCCCTTGGATCTTAGCTGGATCCGGCTTCAAGCCTTCTTCAGATATGACATGCCCGGTGAAGGAAACTTCGGAGAGGCGGAACTTGCACTTCTCCTTGTTTAGCTTGATACCTTTGCTCTTACAACGTTCTAAAAGGGTGATGAGCCGCTGGTCATGGTTTTCAATGGCTTCTGCTTTAGTTTCACCAACTCCATAGATCAAGATGTCATCAAAGATAGGCACAACCAACTGAAGTCCTGGCAAGGCAGTGTCGAGGCGTCGCTGGAACTCTTCAGGTGCGGGGGAAATAACGAATGGCATTCGGGTCCAGTTAACAGAAGAATTGCCCTTAAGCTGAAGTGCCGACGGCAGCGGTAAATTCGATGCAACATGGATGACTTGAGGTTGTGCTGGCGGTACATCTTCGTGATCAGACATGTTACAACACTTAGAACTCTCGATTTCTTCGGAAGAAATGCAAGCAGAGTTAAGGATTCGCCGATTCTGACACCATGTAACGTTGTTCGTATGTAGAACAGAGAAGAATCGACCAGAACTGGAGATACAAAACTGCTGTGTTTAATCTACACTCTCGACTACAGCTAACAAGTCAAAAACGGAAAGCATGGTCTGAACCGTTACCATGGCAATGTCAGTAATGAAACTTAGACCGGAAGTGAATCAACCAATATGGATATCGTTACAGCCTGACGTGACCGAACGAATGTACGAGCATTGTCCAGTTTGTTTACATTCCTGACACGTCGGTTGGCTGTCAAAAATTGCGAAATAGAACAGTCTGGAATCAGCCGTCACC